CAGGAATTGAGGACATCTGGATGTGGCCCAATCTCTTGGTGGCAGGAACGGGAGGCTGCCCTAATTGAATGAGAAATAGATTATCCTGAAAAAAAAAGCTAGTTATCAAAAAACGGTTCTAGGTTCTATGTAGCAAAAACCACTTGTATATTTTCGTATAATTGCCGTATCGCGCTACAAAGCGTGTGGATTCCGAGGACAATTGAACACTGTCTGTAGAAACACTTGGAAACCCATTGTCATGCGCTAACCCTTAATCGCACAAAAAACACCGCTACGTCTTGCCACTCTCCAAACAGGCCGAACTCCCCTCTTTCCCACACACGCAACCCCCACAACTCCCAGTCCCAATGATGGTGATGATGGTGCCATCATGTAGTGCCCTCTCTCGATCAAGTCCCGATGATGATCACGACGCCGCCCTCACATGTCTCCTCCCCTCAAAATGTGAAGCCACCACTACACATCGCCTGCAGCTTCATGGTAGAGCGTCAGCTGATCTGCGTGTCTCACACCGTGGCTAGAACAAACTCATTCTGTCCTACACGTCTCACTGCCCGAAAGGGACCGGAACGCCCGGGTGCAAGCTTCGAGGAGAAGCCCTTGGTGGCATCGCTGAGGGAGTGGCTTTCGAGCAGAACAAGATCACCCTCCTGTATTGTCAGTGGCCGCCTGTGCTGGTCGTAGCGAGTCTTCTGGGCGCGCCACATGTGGTCCTGGTGTGCCCTGGAGAAGTCAAGCACCTCCTGCAGACACTTAGAGACCTCAGAAGCAAATGCGCGGTATGCTGTCGCAGGAGACTCCGCGTCGTCTTTGGCTTCAGCCTGTGTCTATGGGGTTCTCAGCTCCCGGTCATAACAGAGGAAGGCAGGCGTATAGCCCGTGAGAATGCTTTCAGCCGTGCGCATGGCCAGGGCAAATTCAGGGATGTGCTGGTCCCAGTCTTTGGGGTTCGAACAATAAGCCCTAAGGCACTGCTTGATAGTGCCATTGTGGCGCTCCATCATTTGCCCGGCAGGGCGGTACGGAACCGTGTGTCAGTTTTGTATGCCCCAGTGCTCAAAGAGGCCCTTCCACAACCTGCTTACAAAGGGCTTTCTATTATCACTTGAAATGGAGACAGGTGTACCATGTCTGCAAAAAACCTGAATCAGGCAGGCCACCACACTCTTGCTGTTTGCTGCTCGTAATGGAAAAAGTTCAATGAGCTTGGTGAACTTGTCAATCACCACGAGAAGGTACTTGTGGCGTCGAGGCGTCATAGGCAAGGGCCCAATTATGTCCACGCTGAGCGGTTCCATGGGGGCCGTGGCCCATTGACTGCTCATCAGCCCTTCTGGCTTCTGGCGGTGGGCTTTGGTGCGCTGACAAACCTGGCAGCATCGCACATACTTGGACATGTCCGAGCGCATACCCAGCGACACGAAATTCTGATAAATGCGTTTAAGGGTCTTAAAAAAGCCGGCCGCTAATCGGGTGGTCATGGGACAGTTGCAGGACCAAGTTGCAGAGATGGTTTGGTAGCCAAGGTACATTCCTGTTCCCTCGGTGCTGTACAAGCAACCCACTCTCTTCCATCTCGGTGGTCTCTGCCAGGTCTTTGATCAAAGGTTGATCACTGTCAGTGGGCGGAAGCTTCCCTCCCTTCATCACAGTTTGTAAGTTTTGACAGTATGGGGTTCTGCTCTTGTTCCTGGGCGAGGAGCCCTGCATCATTCAAGACAGTAGTGTCGTCCACTTCAGATGCTATAGCAGCTGCCTCAAAGCTGATTTGTAGGCTGGGCTCTGGAACAGCCATAGGGAACAGCGTCCCGTGTAGACTCGGGCTTGGAACTTCCTTGTGCTGAAGGGGAGCTCTGCTCAAGGCATCGGCTGGCACATTTGCAAGACCCCGCCTGTGCTTGATCCTGCAGTTGAAACCTTGCAGCCGCAAAACCCAACGCTTTACACGTGGTGAGGCCTGGTCTGTGGTGAACATCCAGGACAGTGAGGAGTGATTACACTGTATCTCTAACTCGGTGAAATAAGGGGACGGTCAGAACTTGTCCACTGCCCACACCACAGCCAGACACTCCCATTCTTGCACTGTATAGCGCTGCTCTGCCTCAATGAGGACCCTACTAATGGAGCTTTTGGACGCAGTTGAGCATCACTCTCGGTTGCGTGCAAAAGCACCGCTGAAATGCCGACTCCACTGACGTCTGTTTCCACCACGAATGGTCTGTTGAGGTCCGGCAAGTTTACAACGACATCGTCGGCCAGGGACTGCCTAATTGCTCTAAAGGCTTCCTCTTGCAGTAGCTCCCACCGCCAACGTTGGTTTTTCTTAAGGAGTTCTGGGAGTGAACGTGCCGTGATAGAAAACTGAGGTATGAACCCTCTGTCATAGCCTGCTAGTCCCAAGAAGGCCTGCAGCTGTTTGAGTGTTGTTGGTTGAAGATAGTCCAGCAACGCATGCACTTTTTCCTTGTCCGGCCTACACTGCCAGGGCGATATTTTATGGCCAAGGAACTTCAGGTATTGACAGGTATATTGTTTTCATCCTTCAGAACACCATTGTTTGGTGTTCTGAAGGATGAAAACAGGCCGAAAGAATGCGAGAAGAACCAGAACAGAGCGGACAAGCTTCTGGAAGACACCAACGCAGTTTGCGAACTCCACTTGCAACCACGTTTGTGCATATTATCGATGAAAAAAAAGTGCGCATACCTCACCCATTATCCACGCCGAGGCTGTTTTCAACTTGTTCGGCTGACCAACTTTTGTGACCGAGGAGGCCTCCTTCATCTCTCAAGTCAGCTGTACAGCTTCATGAAAAAGCTCGAGGATATTTTCACAGAATAAGTTTTCCAGAGTAAGCTGCACTCTGACAGCATTATGGACATACTGGCAATTGTTCAGCGCAGACTCTCGATTGAAGTTGGTTGCTGTGTGCACGCAGCTACCCTCAAAGCGAAAGTAATTACTTTTAGATGCGGAGCATCTAATACTCGAGGCTTGTAGTGCGGCGCCGTCCGCAAGCTTCCTCCTCCTTCTTCCACCATCTGTGCATCCCTTCCTCCTCTACACACCGCGCGCGCTTCACTCCTCCACCATCTGTGCACCCTTCCTCCTCTACACACCGCGTGCGCTTCTCCTCTTCACGAACATTCGCTAGCTGTATAATGTAGCGCGCATGCGCCGTCACGCTTCGAGAACATCGGCAGCTGACGCGCGCGCATGCGCCGTCGCGCTTCGAGAACATCGGCAGCTGACGCGCGCGCATGCGCCGTTGCGCTTCTCCCCCTTCTCGAACATTCGACAGCTGACAGTGCATGCGCCATCGCGCTGTATATATACTCAAGGTCGGCACTCGCTCGCTCAGTTGCCGCTCGTCGGTTGGTTTGTACGGCGCGTCGACGTCCAAAGTCGCGGTGAAATGAATTCCAACGAATCCACAAACACAATGATCGACGTCCTTCGACCAGCGCCGCCCTTTCGCATACGTGTGTACGTGTTCACTCATTTAACACCCCCTCCTACAACCACGTTAACCAATTTAGCCATCGACCCAAGTAAGTCGCAATTTAACACCCCATTTCACAACCACGTTAACCAATTTAGCCATCGACCCAAGTAAGTCGCACTTTAACACCCCGTTAACCAATTATATGCTCCGCATCCTCCTCAGTGTTCCCCCGAGGGAAGCTGCGGGCAATTTTTTACGTTGTCACACGTCTTCATTCAATTTGAAATGACTGAACACTGACAATTAGGCAGGCAAGCGGCAGAGGGCTAAACAGCTGAAGATGAGCCGTCACACATGAAGTGAATAAAGTGTGTAAATCAGTGGCTAGATGGTGTACTTCAGTTCTTGCAAATAAGAGCTTCATGTCAGGAGCAGAAGCTTCGTGTGTATCTTCATTTAGTTTCTCACTATGTCGCTCTACATATGTCAAACATACGTGTATCTGCATAATTATGATTATTAATAACCCCCAGAAAACTGTTGTGCCATGGTCTACAACTGAAGCAGAACAAAATTATTTAAGCACTACGATTTCACTTTATAATAAAGGCGCAAACCCAGCCAGCACGCCTGCATGTTAAAGCTTTTCTAGGAAGTGAACGTGCAATGTTTTCGAATTATGTTGTGAAAGGGCGGGCATAACCTTGTTGCGAATTCTTTTTAGGTTCGGTCAACAAAGCATGAACCGTACGTTTGGTCACTGTATCAAACCATATAATTTGTGGGATACATCATTCTCTTCGACGAGGCGTTATATTCGAGGAAACACGAGCTGGCCTGAACAAATATAGTACTTATCATTAATACTCTATTAACTCAAACACACCCTTCGAACCCCTCCCTCCCCCCCCCCCCCCCCCCCACAAAAAGCGTTAGCTGCGTCTCACTAGAAAGCAGAATGCACACACTGCACCGGCTGCCATCGGACTAATTTTCGGGAAGCTGTATTGCAAAAGAAAAGGAAAACACTGTGAAGCGAGAGCACCAGAAGCTCTTAATATAACCAGAGGGCAGTCAAAGCATGCAAGTTTATTACAAATATCGAATAAATGCATGTTCCAACTTTTACGAGTGGCCATCGGCGAGCAGCTTCTGCAGGTGAAGCTTCTATTGAAGATGTCTGTGGCGCCATCTCTCTTATGTGACGCTAAAAGCGTCAGAGTAGCTGTGGAGTAAGCCCCCTCTCTCTCTTAGTACACTGTAACGCAACCCCCACAACTCCCAGTCCTAATGATGATGATGATGCCATCATGTAGTGCCCTCTCTCGGCCAAGTGCCGATGATGATGATGACGCCATCACGTAACGCTCTCTCTCGGCCACCCTCACACCATTATTAAATATTAAACCTTCTTAAAAACCACGCATTTCGCAGTGAGTCTGTGTAGCTTAGCCAGGCTGTTCAAGTAAGCCTGCTGTATGGAACCGGGAGTTGTTTTTGATAACTACGTTTTTCGTGAAATATATATATATATATATATATTTGTTCAGCGGTGGTGGTGGCGGGCGGACGCTCGGGAGACTGATTTCTTCTATCTTGCAGGAAACCACACGGACCTCCCACGCTTCGTGCAGACCCCGAGCTGTCCCAAAAGGAACAGGCCAACCTGGAAACATCGTTTTTTCATCTCTGAGGAGAGGCAACTCAGGGTTTCCGAGTTCTTCGGATTTGACAGCTCTGGAACTTTGACAGTGCTGACATTACGTGGGCCTCGCAATCTTCGTGACGTCATCGAGCTGTGTAAAAGAACGAAGCGCATCAGATACCATCGCATTTGTTCAGCGGTGGTGGTGGCGGGCGGACGCTCGGGAGACTGATTTCTTCTATCTTGCAGGAAACCACACGGACCTCCCACGCTTCGTGCAGACCCCGAGCTGTCCCAAAAGGAACAGGCCAACCTGGAAACATCGTTTTTTCATCTCTGAGGAGAGGCAACTCAGGGTTTCCGAGTTCTTCGGATTTGACAGCTCTGGAACTTTGACAGTGCTGACATTACGTGGGCCTCGCAATCTTCGTGACGTCATCGAGCTGTGTAAAAGAACGAAGCGCATCAGATACCATCGCATTTGTTCAGCGGTGGTGGTGGCGGGCGGACGCTCGGGAGACTGATTTCTTCTATCTTGCAGGTTAGTTACAAAGCCTTAACATTTCTTCTCTGTTGTGCCGCCTACCACCACCACAAAATCGCTTTTTCGTTTTGTCGTCGTTTTGCTTTGCTTGTGGGAGCTGCGTGATTTGAAGTGTTGTACATTTCGGGTGTGTACTGAGAATGGCAGCTTCTGCCTTGTGTTTAGTGTGCAAAGAGGCACTTCCCGATCCCGGTAGTTGCCCAATGTGCTCCGAATGTAGCTACGGTTATCACATTGGACCATGCTCAGGAGTAACAAAGTCTGCTTTTAAGACAGGCGACGAGGCAGTAAAAAAAGCATGGAAATGTCAAGCATGTGTTATTCTGGCTGCACGTGCGAACGCCGGCAGCGGGAAGTTGCAGCTGCAGCAGACATCTGACACTGGAAAAATACTGGCTGAAATAAATCGCAAGTTGTCGGAGATACCCACCATTAAAAGCAGAATAGATCAACTAATGCAACTGAAGGACACAGTCCAAAATATGGAACAATCTGTTAAACACTTGTCAGAGCAGTATGACGATGTACTCATCGAGATGAGGAAGCAATCATGTGAAATAGCTACTCTAAAGAAAAGAGTTGAAAAGGCTGAAGCAGCCAATGACCCTCTGGAAATTCAGAAGCTGCGACAGCATCTCAACTACTTAGAGCAATATAGCCGCCGTCAAAATTTGGAAATTCACTGGTATCCCCCATAGCCAAGGCGAACAGTTGCTCGGTAAACTGAATAACCTGGCGAAACAGTTAAACCTTGCCGAGCTCACGCCAGCTAATATTGACGGCTTGCACAGGCTTCCGCCCAAGCCAGGTAAAGAACCAGCGGTGCTCGTTCGCTTTGTATCGTGCGCTACACGGAATGAATGGATGGCAAAGAAAGGCTATTTGAAGTCTTCAAAATCGGATGTCTATTTCTTGGATAATCTGACGGCAGAAAACAGGAAGCTTTTGTGGCTAATGAGGGCTAGGGCGCAAGAAAAGCACTATCAGTTTGTTTGGCAGAAAGAAGGAAAGATGTTTGTGCGTAAGGCACAGGGCGAGCGAGCGATCCGCATTGAATGTCAAACCGACTTAGATAAGATACAATAAGCTACTGATCAGTTTGTGACGTGTCTTTCTGTGTTCGCGTACTTTTTTTCTTTTTTTCTATGATGAAAGAATCATCTAGCATAAGCTATTATAACAGCTCTATTTTCAATTCTACCTTGCGGAGTCATTCTTTAAAGCCGAGTGATCATTTGTCTATTTTTCATGTAAATAGCAGAAGCTTGAGTGGTAAGGTCATGGAATTAGAAACAGCTCTGGAGGCACTAGACCATAAATTTGACATTCTGGCATTTACAGAGACGTGGTTTTCGTCGGTTTCTGATGTCAATTTTCTTGATGGATACAAGTGTGAAAGTGTCTACAGGAAAGGTCGTCGAGGAGGCGGTTGTTCACTTTATATCAGAAATAACCTGAACTACTTTGTTCTCGCTGAATTTTCAGCCGTTAACGATGATTATGAGTCAATTGCTGTCAAATGTTGTAGTACCGTGATTGCGGCTATCTATCGCCCCCCTTCTGGTGATTTTCATGAATTTAGTTTGTCTGTTAGCAAGATTCTTGAGTACGCTACCATGACAGGTCTGTCGGTTGTTCTGATTGGTGATTTTAATATAAATTTATTATTATCCAATTCTCAAACACAACGTTTTAATGATGTCATAGAGTCATTTCATTGTTCTAACACTATAAACCGGGCCACTAGAATAACACCAGATACAGAAAGCTTAATTGACTTGTGCATAACAAATCATGATAGCGCTGATGTATTTTCAGGAATTCTCACTTTCGATATTAGTGATCATCTGCCAATCTTTGTTTTCGTTCCGCGCCCCAAAAGTAAAAACTGTCATGCACGCAGTGCTCCATTTTTTGGAAGAAATTTTAATAATGGGGCACTGAATGCATTTAGGTCATTGGTCGAAAATATTGATTGGACAGATGTATACAACGAGAAAGATCCGAATTTATCCTACAATTTATTTTTGCAGAAAGTTAAGCACTCGTATGACTCTGCTTTTCCACTACATTCAGTTAAAGGTAATCGAAAATCTAGAAAACCATGGGTTACTCGTGAGTTATACCATAGAATTAGAATGAGGGACAGATTATTTGACACTTTCATTCGTGTAAAAGACGAAACAATTCTCCGGGAATATAAAAAGCTCAGGAACAAGCTCAATTCGGATCTTCGGAAAGCTCGCACTCAATATTACCAAGATGTGTTTGCGTCGATATCAGGTGACCCCAAAAAAATATGGGCTACAATTCGTAAACTCAAAGGCAGCTCAAATATTATGATCCCTAGCACACTTATGTTTGATGATGTGGAATATACCAGTACTCCACTGGTGAACAAATTTAATGATCACTTTTTGCATGCTGGTATTGCAAATAATCTGGTACTAACAATCTTACAAATGATCTATGTGGATATATATCATCTCACAGTACCAACTCCATATTTCTGTCTCCGTGCACTGCAGATGAAATTTGTAAATTAATCAAATCTTTGAAAACAGATAGCGCAGCCGGATATGATGAAATCAAAGCGAGACCAATTATTCATGTTGCTGATATACTATGTGCCCCGCTTTGTCATATATGTAATAGCGCGCTATCTACCGGGATCTTTCCGGCTAGTATGAAAATAGCCAAAGTTGTAGTCTTGCATAAAGGTGGATCCTTGAATGATCTGAATAACTACAGGCCCATATCTGTGCTACCTCTTTTTTCTAAAGTATTAGAATTAGTTGTAAAGTTTAGGTTAACCCAATTCTTGGATGAAAAGCGGGCACTTGTTGACAATCAATTCGGCTTTCGCAAGAATAAATCAACCGAGGAGGCACTGCTGAGTGTTAAAGAAGAAATAATTGAAAATTTTGAAAACAGGTTATTTACTGTTGGAGTTTTTCTTGACTTCAGGAAAGCTTTCGACTCTATAAAGCATCACATTTTGTTTCAAAAACTTCCCGAATATGGAATTAGAGGCGTTACCTTAGAACTGATAAAGAGTTATTTTTCAGATAGATTTCAATTTGTAAGTCTTAATAACATAAGCTCAGAGATGAAGCAAATAATGTGCGGCGTACCTCAGGGGTCCATTTTGGGTCCTCTATTTTTTATAATTTATATCAACGACATTGTGAATATACCACTTACGCCTAAAATGGTTCTCTACGCCGATGATACCAGTTTATTTTTCTCTGGTCATAATTTAGCTGACTTGGCAATAGTAACAAACAATTGGTTGCACCAGCTGCTGATTTGGTTGTCCCTCAACCAGCTCCAGTTAAATGTTACTAAAACGAAATTCATTGTTTTTAAACCTAAGAATAAACCCGATGTCACTGACATTTCTCTTCGTTTTGATGCTTGCGCTATTGAACGGGTATCTGTATTTAAGTTTCTGGGAGTATTGTTCGAAGAACATTTGAGCTGGACTCATCACGTAAACAAATTACATACTAGCATTTCCAGGTCCAATCGAGTGTTTTACAATATCCGGCATCTGGTTCCGACTTGGCTAAAACGTCAGCTGTACTATACACTCATACATTCTCAACTATACTACTGCCTCTTAGTCTGGGGTACTACAAGCAAAACAAACTTAATCAGGCTGACACTCCTCCAAAAACAAGCTGTTCGACACATAGAAAACCTTGCTTATCTTGACCATACAGCACCGTTTTTTTTAAAAAATGAGATATTAAAAGTGGATCAGCTATACTCCCTCAAACTTGCTACATACATACACAGTAAAATGCGTCAAAATGAATCTATGTTTACACACATGTACTTGACTAACCGCAATCCATATATTTTGCGACACAGCCACCTCGAAGTTCCGTTTTGCAGAACAAAATATGGTACTAAACAGCTAAAATACATGATCCCTAGTTTCCTAAACCAGCATCCACAATTACTTAGCAATGTGTATGAAGTTTCATCAAAATCCCTGTTTAAGCGTGTTGTTAAATTATATTTGCTGTCTTGCGTGCCCTTCATAGTATGAGTAGACCTCTAACAACATGTGGCTTAAGACCTGTTACATTAAAGAACTCAATTCTACTATTCCTATATGTATGTCGTCGTCCCTTGCAAGTAGCGCTATGTCATGTTTTTTTTTTTTTTTTTTCCGTGCTGAGCTTCCGCTTTCTAATGTATAATTTCTTACTGATAGCCACAACCCTGTTGGACAGTGCTTGGGTGGTAGGGCCATTGTCAGGCAGTTAATTCTGCCTTTAGCCATACCATCCCTCGACATGTATTATGTTGAAAATAAACAATTCAATTCAATTCAATTCAATTCAATTCAATTCAATATATATATATATATATATATATATATATATATATATATATATATATATATATATATATATATATGTGTGTGTGTGTGTGTGTGTGTGTGTGTGGCCGACCAGAGATGGCGCTACGTGCAGACGTCCCCTAGAGTCAGTGCATATGGTACCTTTATCGTGTACAATTACTTTAATGTCCAGAGTAACTGTATATGCTAACCTTTAGCACGTACAACTACTCTAATGTCCCCAAATCCTGGTCGTGATTGAGCCAATAGACAGCAAGCATGAAGGTCGCCTCGCTAGCCGCCGCGGCCGTAATTCGTGGCGCCAGAGTTTTGTTGACTCTGTTAGATCTGATTCTAAGGGGTTAGCTGCTATAGGCTTACTTCGTACAGAATTATAGTTTTTTGCTATCGCATTTATTATTTTCACTCTTGTGGCAAAACTGTGACGCTTGTCGAAGATGCGGTTGAGGAGCAGAAAATGTAATCATGTGATGGCGTGCTGATTGTCCTTAAGGGGCGTGCATTAATCTTACCAATCTAAGAATGCCTTTCTGTACCATGCAGAGCGATAGATGCGTGGCGTACGCACGAGCCCGAGTTGATAAGCACACCTTCCGCAGACACGCATTTGGATCAACTGTCTGCAAATTTATCACAATCGTCCAATATAGTTCCAGCGCGATGAGTATTACATTTCAAAAAAAAATAAACAACACGTTTAGTGTGCAAGTTTATTCAATAACATTGATTGTTGTTGTTTTGCGCATCAAACCAGAATATGACGAAGCCGAGGGTTCGACAAGTTTCTAGCGCAAGGGATTGTTTGAAGTAAACACAAGTCTAAGTACATGGCCCTCCAGTATATTGTCTCTACCAAACTGCGACTGCCGTGCCCGTTATTCGATCCCGCGACCTTCTTATCACAACTGCAGCACCATAACCAGTGAACCACCGAGTTTTTCTTTTGCTTATTGCTAAACAACCAAGTCGGGTTGTTTGACTAATAAACTTTATATATCACCTGAAAAATGTTTAATTAATCTGCAGTCAGTCATAATCCACTTCAACATAAAAAAAAGAATGAACTGGTACACTCAACATGCA